GAAAGCCCTTTCTTTGCGTTTTGGAGTCACTTTTACAAAAGAAATGCCCGAATGAAAGCAGAGGAGGGCGCTACCCGCCGCGCCCCGCTGCGCCCCGCCGTGACGTCAGGCGTGCCGAGGCTCTGAAAGGCTACGGCAAGCGGACGAGGAATCGAAAAGGTTTGTGGATGTATACAGAGCGCGAGAGAGCTGGGAGACACCACACGCAGAGCGCGGCGTGTATGTGGAAGGGAAAAAAGGGCCGCGGGTGGCGGAAAAAACGCGGGAATTGTGTGTGCCTGGAATCCGGGCTCCGGGTTCAAAATATTCCGGGATGCCGCGATGCGACGCGGCTGGTCGTCAGCGGCGTAGCAGTGGCGTAGCAGGAGGCAGGAGAACGCAGGGTTGTGTTTTTGTCCAGTCGGAGTGTGTTATTCGGAGGGGCTGCCTCATTTACAACGCGCTACCTCTCGCCCCACTAACGCCGCTGCCTCCACTACGCCCCCACCTCAACTTCGCTTCTGCCCCACCCTCGCTGCCACCTCGCCTACGCCGCTGCTTGACGCCTGCACTAGCCCTGCCGCGTTGGGCGCGCAGACCAAAGCGGTTCCGCTCCGCCGGTAACAGTTCCGAAATTGAATGTCATTCTGAATTAGAGTGTCCTGGAGAGACAATGGAAGCTGGGGGCCTCTAGCGCTGGTCCGGTGTGGAGGATGTCTCCTGCCCAGGAGACAGTGCTGGGGTTACCTCTCTCTCTCTCTCTCTCTCTCTCTCTCTCTCTCTCTCTCTCTCTCTCTCTCTCTCTCTCTCGCACACACTATCTTTATCCTGCTCGCAGCGCGCCGGTCTAGGTTGGAGGGATGATGTCTTTCTTGCTCTCGCGGCGTCTCTCTTGCGCTTATGTGCTGACCCCTACGGCTGCGAGAGGGAGAGAGAGAGAGAGAGAGAGAGAGAGAGAGAGAGAGAGAGAGAGAGAGAGAGAGAGAGAGAGAGAGAGAGAGAGCGGCAGTGCGGCCGTGGCGCCACCACAATGAGACGAATTGTCGGCCGCTGGGAATGTATGGCTGCTGGTGCAAGTGTGCGGAAGGCGGCCCACCCACCGTAAACACCCCGCGGAGCCACGCGCAGCCCCCTTATGCCCAATCTTACAACACGCTGGCCCTGCGAGTGAGTGAGAAGAGAGAGAGAGAGAGAGAGAGAGAGAGAGAGACGCAGAGGGCCGCGGAGAGCGGCAGAAAGAGAGAGGGAGAGAAGGTGTACGCGCGAGGGAGGAGGGAGCCGGAGGGCGCCATTGTGAGCGACGCACCAGAAATATTATTGTGCACAATGGGACGCCACTTCGGCCATCAACAAATCAAACAAACGACCGCAAACTAAACAGAATGTGTCGGACTCGGTTTTGTCTCGGCGCCGCCGCGGTCGCGGCCCCGGCCAGTGTAGCGGAGCCGAGCGCTAGAGTTACCCCTTTGCCGAGCCCGCGTGCGCGCGTGCGCCCGAGTGTGGACAATGTTTTGTGCGTGTGCTGCCGCTGGCGTGTGTGAGTGTGTGGCACGCAACCGTTCCGCAGCACTGCCCGCCCGGCCACTGCGTGCCACTGCGCAGCACAGCACCGGCCTGGCAGGTGACACTGTTAAGGAGAGCGTGTGCCCTTTCCCCACGCCGTTGGGTCCTGCCCGCGGACATATTTGATCTTCCACGACGCGCCGCCTCCACCGCTGCTGTGTACCAAACGCGTCGCCTGCCCCTCCCCCTCCCCTCCGCTCTTACACACACATGTCATGTAGCAGGCGGGCCGGGGCGGGCGCCCTTGGGCCCGGCCTCCTCGAGGGACATCCCCCTCCCCCTCCGGCAGACTGATTCCGAGAGTCGTCGCTCTGTCTCTCTCACACCTTTACGGACGGCCCCATGAGTGCGAGAGAGACAGAGCGACGGAAACGACGCAGCCCCGCAGTCCTCGGGGGCCGCGGCGCGGCGCGGTGCCGTGCTGCTCGATTTACTGGCGGAGCGATGACGCGGAATTCGGTTGTCGCCGTCGCTCTCCCAGATTGGTGCGCGCCACTGGCTGGGGACTCGCTGAGGGGGAGAGAGAGGGAAAACGGAGAGGGAGCGGGCAGGGAGATGATCGTCACGCTGCAAACAAAAGGGGAGCGATGAAACGCGGCGCGACGGACGCGTGCCAACTGTTTGAGTTCATTTAGACGCGTCACTTGTTCTCCTCACACTCGCTCGGCCCGCGGCGCCGCGCGGCGCTCGCTTCGATTTAGTTTTTGTTGACAGTGTGCGGCAAACGAGAGGGGAGGGGTTGGGGATCCTCCATGAGTGGAAATTTTGTTTACCTGCCATCGTTCAAGGCGCATGTCGTGACTTTTGGCCGCTCCTCGCCAACGACATGGTGTCGTTAAGAGAATTCCAGCAAACATTATTTTTTAAAATTAAAAACAAGTGCAACATTGTGGATAAAACGGAAACAGCGGAGATGTGGTATTGTGTGCAGGTGCGACGTGCTTGTTATGGCAGCCGGGGGCTGCTGGGCGTAGACGGCCATGATTCTCCAGCAGGGCGAGGGCTCGGCGCCATCTCATTGTAGGGCAGCGCGTGTTGCTGGTGCCCTGGCGTGCCCTGGCGGTGGCGGCGCCGCGGTGCTGGGGTACCTTGTATGTCACCGTTTTTATGTGCCGGCAGGCAGAAAGAACAGGAACCCTCGTTACAACAAACTACGCACTTTATTAAGGCCCCTCCTCGAGGAGACGCGGTTCCTACCGGGCCTACTGCCTTGCTGTTGTGTAGGCGCACCTGCTCAGAGGGCGATCCGGCGTGTGACCCCACTATTGGATTCCTCGTTTGGAGAACAGGTGGCGTCAGCCGTTCGGTTCCAGTCTCATTTATCGACTCTGTAGGTCAAAACGCGTTTGGAATTTTGGCCGCCTCCACCGGTCTTCTAGCGTACTCGGCAACGTAGAGAAATTTTGCAAGCTGTTTTAGCGACCGCGTAAAGCATTAACTCAGCTTCATACTTGCTGATTTCTGTCATCACAATACCAACCGGGGTGCTGCCTGAGACCCGCCCGATATGGGAGACAGTGCCTCGGCCAGCAGTCGCGTCTCGGAATTTTGTTTGGGGGCGGCCAGCCAGTGCTGCGCTGGCCCGGCCGTCGTTGCCGGGGCAGCCGAGGCAGCCGAGGCAGACGGCAACTTGTGGCCGCGCCATCTTGCCCGGCGTCGTCGTTGGCGCCGACCCTTGTTGTGGTCGACGGCCACATCAGACCCGGGACGAGAGGCCGGGATGAACCACGCATCTCGCAAGGCACGCCGGGGGAGATACGCCGTTGTGTGCGACGTGACGACTCGCGGGGAAATCGACTGGCCTCGTCGAGTGGAATCAATCCCGCTCGCTGCTTATTGGGCTTCGACTTTATCTATCCTCGTCGATGTCTCCGCGGCGGGCGCGCGGACTTTTTTGTGTCATCACGTCTGTCGCGGATAAAAAATGATGTCGTTGCCAAGAATACGGACGGGAAACGTCATGCCAGTGTTGCAAATGAAAAGGAGATATCGTTCCCCTCCCCGCTCCCCGCTCCGCACCCTCCTTGCCGGTGAATGTCTCATCTATTCGTTCCTCCGTCCGACCGTCCGATTCAGTAGCCAATATCTTCGGCGAGGTGCCCCCTCCCCCGTGCAATTCGCTCTCGGGAGCGACTGCAGAATGATCCGCACGTTGATCTGTGCGGGATGGGGATCGAGAAATATATACGCCGCGTCTTTCTCGGCCAAATAATATATTCCGTTGGAAATGAAGCGAAAACCGCAGTGACCTCTTTCCCGGCGGCCCTCGCTGCTCCCTCGCCCCCGCCGGCTCCCCTTCCCCTGCTGCTCCCGCTGCTGCTGCGGGGGCTCCGGACGGATACTACATGCGCCGTTTAATATGCCTGGCCTGGGCCAGCCAGGACCCCGGGCCAATCCCTGCCCCTTTCTTATCTTGCTGTCCCATGTATTAACGCCAACGACCCTTAGGCCGTGGCAGCCGCACATACATGTGTGTGTGTGTGTGTGTGTGTGTTTCTGAGTTGTCAAAGAATATGCGCAATCCGTTGGTAAATGCAATATCGTGTTTGTTTGTTCGCGTTTCTTCTTTTTAGAACGCACGTTTGCGTCAGTATAGGCCCGGTGACGTGGCCCGGACTTTTCCCCTTTCGATGATGTATGATCGTTGAGCGGTCGTCGACGTCCGGAGCCCTGATTGGCGGTCTTGACGCGCCACTGCCGCGCCACTGCCGCCCCCTGGCGTCCGCTTCCGGCACCGTGCCGCTCTGCCGTCCGCGGCGGGGCGATGTCGAGCGGCGCGGCGAACGGAGGCGAAGCGAGGACGGAAGTGTCGCCACTCGGACGCACCGCGCCCCGCCCCGCCCCGCCCCGCCATCAGTGCCACGACGCCCCGGGACGGATTTTATGGCTCCGCAGCGGTTTATAATTCCCACCATGGGGCCGACCGAGGCTCGGCCCGAGCAGCGAGCTGCCACGGGGCGCCGCCCCCGTCGGGGAGGGAGGGCCGGGAGCGGGCGAAATAAAAACAAGACATATTTGAACAGGGTATGAAAGGCTCACACTGGTTGTTATTGTGATGCCCCCTCCCGCGGTGATCGCGACGAGCTCGCCATTTCGCGGACGTGATGAGCGGATGAATTATTTATTGCCGGGGATTTTTAAGCGAGGTAAATATTTGGGTAACGCGCCGCGGCCGCGCGGCCGCCGTGCCTGGTGTGGGCCAAGGCATGGCCAAGGCCCGGCCCCACTACGCCAGCCGAATCCGCCTCGTATATCGAACCCTTAATTGGACGCACCGCTCCGAGAGGATGGGGTAGAAGGCTGCAAATTTCTTTTTGACTTTTGCCTCATGGGGCGTCTCTACGACGTGGCGGCATTTGTACCGTTCTTTGGCCTACAGTGTGAGACTTACGGCTTGGTCTTTGCTGTTTGACAAAACGTTCTTTGGTCTCACCTGCAACGTCTCTTTGTCGTTCCAGATCCCTTTTGCACGCTTAAAAGCGAAGGGTCGTCCTCCTCTGTCGTCAGGAACTCGTCCGAAGGTAAGTCACCCCTTTGTGGCGCACTTTATTTTGCGCGGAGAAGTTGGCCGGCCTCCCTGCAGCGTCGTTGAGAGGGTCCGCAAGCTGGCGGCATCTCACTTTCCAATGCATAGCTTCTGGACTGGCTGGGCTGGCCGGGCTGGCCGCGCTACGGAGGACGCGCCGTCCCGCCGGACCGTCTCCCCGGACCCGTCCTGCCCCCATCACGACCACGCGGTCCCTCCAGGTCCCTCCCTTCGACGGACTCCCGACGGACGGCCGGGGACTACCTGATGGCGGCGCCGGGGGCCGCCATTGCGCCAAGTATTCCGGAAGAGTTTCCTGCCTTATTCGGTTTGTTTTCTGCGACGCGCTGTCCGTGCCGACTGACCTTTCTGTATGTATAGGTGCGCGTGGGGCGGGCCGGGCGGGCCGGGCGGGGCGCATGGCTTGGCGGCGGGAATGCGGCGGGAAGCTGACCTGTGCTTCGGCACTGCTGGGGAATATTTGGCCCGGGTCTGCCTGCACTCTCTGTACCTTTTCCGATACGAGGTGCAACCGCGGCCAGGCTCCTACCCCGTGCCGAACAGGGCTGCATATTTGCTCCGGCGACTCCGAAATACGGACAGGAAGCGAGAGGAGCATCCAGAGTCCAGTCCGGTTCCGTCACGGCACAGCTTCCCCTCGCAGTGCGCTTCAAAGGCAGAGTTGAAAACCCGTCCCGCGGTCCGGGCGCGGTGCGCGGTGCTGCGGCACTCAAAGGCGGCGGCCGCACCGCCAGACCGCTGGGTGATGTCAAGCACGGCCAGACCCCCAGGACCGCCAGGACCGCCAGGACCGCCAGGACGACAACAAAAGCCTCCTAATCGAAAAGCTGCTCTGAAGCGGTGCACCGCGGCGGGTTCGTCCCGATGCGCGTCCGGGCCTTTCCGAGGCGGAGACTGGGCGGCTGCAGCTGCTGTTGCACAGTGGGGCAGAAGGCGGGCAAAACTCTAAACGCGATTTGAGCTTCAGAGTCGCTGAATGAGACTAGAACCAAACGTGTGACCCCCACCAATGGATTCCTCGTTCGGAGAGCAATCCATTGGTGGGGTCACACGCTACACGCTCGGTTCGAGTGCCATTCAGCGACTCTGGAGCTCAAAACCCGTCCGGGAGTTCGACCGCCCCCACTGGTCTTCTGGCCCACTGTGTGCAGCTTGCCGTCGTGGTGGCAGTGCGCGCTGCGCGACGCCACGACGTCCGAGACGGCGACGGCGCAACGGCCGGCCGGGCCCTTGCCGCATCCCCGGGCCGCCGGCCGGCCGGACTCAGCTGCTGACTCGGCGAAAACTCACATTACATTTCTCGCATTTTTGCGAGCCTCGCGCGGCGGGCGGGCGGGACGGAGTTTTTGCGGCGAACATATGGAAGAAAGCTGGGAGATAAAGGAGCGCCACGGCGTGGCTTGCCGGCCTCGCCCCCCCTCCCCCTTTCCGAAAAGCAGCCCCCTGCTTAACGGGCCGTGGGCAGCGCGGGGCAGCGTCTGCCTGCAAGTCTACACCATTCTGTCTCCTCATCGCCAAGCCGGCGGAGCCGTGGCGGAGCACCAGTGGACAGCCCCCCACCCCGCCGCCGAGGCCGCCGCCGACTCGCCCCAATGAAAAATGACGACTTCCAGATTAGTTGAGCCGGCCCGGGCCGAGCGCCCCGACAGCGCTGAGGTAGGCAACCCGTCGTACATCAGCGCAGCTGGAAGGGCTGGCCTAGAAGGCAGTGCCTGGCTAGCGGCGCCCCGATGGATGTCTGGAATTAGCCACCGCCTTGCGCCCCCTCCCCCAGTCCGCTTTTTTCCCGTCTACCCGACTCACTATCAGCCAGCCGCGGCCCGCCGTGCAAACACGCACGCAATCACGCCGGATTACCTTCCGCGCCTTCCGGCTTACAAATCCTCCTCCCCGCCGAGCACGCCGAGCGCGCAGCCGTCTTGGAGAGACGCCGCGCCGGAGAGACGGCGCGTAATAATCGAGCCAGCACGCCGCCGACGTGGCGGCGGCATGGCGGCGGCGTAGCGGCGCGGAAAAGTTGCTGCTGTCCGGCGGCGTGTTGCTTTTGTGGGAGAGAGCGCCCCGCTGACGGGGTGCATTCTGCTGCGGCATTTCTCTGCGCGCTCGGCTCGGCTCGGCTCGGCTCGGCTCGGCGCCACAGCTTCGGAAACAACAACAGCGACTACAGCTTAGCGTTGGGGCGACCAATTAGTCATTAACGGACGCACATTAATTACGGGCCGATGGTGGCGAGGCGAGGCGAGGCCGCAAGCTGTTTGTAATTGGCGCCACGCCGCGCAAGAAGAACCGGCCGGGAAAGAAATGGGGCAAAAAGACGACTCCCCACAAAAAAAGGAGGGGGAGTTGATGACATCGCCCGCAAGCTGAGCCAGTCGGGAGCCAGATTGGGCATGGGACTGTCCACCGCATGGGACGCTCTACGCCACACGCACGCGCTCGCTCGCTCCGCTCCCCCAGGCCGAGTCCGCCTTGAAGACCGCGCTGTTGGACACGCCAAGGCTCCGTCACTCCGCCCCGCTTGTTTGTTCGCGAACTATGAGTCGGCGGCGCGGCGCCGCCCCGCCCCGCCCCGGCGTCGTGGGTCTGGATGAATATGCATATTGATTGTGGCGGGGACGCTATTCAACAACGTCACTGCGCGCGATTGTTTTCCTTCTTCATTGAAATGAAAATTGATCGCTTTCCTTTCTACTACTTCTTCTCTTTCTTCTTTCCGCTCCTTGTTCGTCGACTTTCCCTCCCTTTCTTTCCCCCGCCATGCAGTCGTTGTGTGCCCTCCGCCAAGTTAGTGCTCCTTGGACCACTCCCTCCTCTCCGACGTCAATAATCATCTCGGGCGTGCCGTGCTGTGCTCCCCGGGGGGCCGTGCTCCAGGCGGCCATGGAGTGCATGGCGGGGCGCGGCGTGGCGCGGCGGGGCGGGGCGGCACATGGTCCGCATGCCGCTTGTTAGTGGCCGGGGCCAATCGGCCGGGAGCCTTGTCATAGCGTCAAGGGCTGGCCGGGGCTGGCCGGGGGGGACCAGGAAAGGGCTCGCCGGCCAGGCGGCCAGCCCGCAGCCAGCCAGCAGGCAGCCAGGCGGCCCCTGATTTCCCAATGGAGTGGGCACAGGCAGAAAGCCGCAAGGAGGCCGCAAGTCAGCCGCCCCGCCCCTCGGCTGCCAAAAGGCAGACGGACGCGCCGCGTGACGCAAAGCAGCGCAAAGCAGCCCGAGAGGGCCAACCGATCGTTTCAAGTGGACGCCGGTCCCCCGGAGAACCCGATCAGGAAAGGATTATGTATCTGCCGGCCGATGGCGATCCCCTTGCCTTGCCGTGGCAGAGCCGTGGCCCTTCCGTCCCTTGTCCAGGGCCGGAGCACTGCCCGCACTGCCAAAACTCCAGACGCGTTTAGAGCCCCAGAGTCGCTGAGCAGGACTCGAACCGAACGTGTGATTCCACCAATGGATTCCTCTCGGAGAGCAATCCATTGGCAGGGTCACACGTTCGGTTTGAGTCCAATTTAGCGACTCTGGAGCTTAAAACGCGTCCGGGATTTCGACCGCCTCCACCGGTCTCGTGGCCCACTGTGGACGGAAGCACTGCGCGCGCTGCCCGCACTGTCCAAAATCCTATAGCTATTCTCCCTAAGCGTGCCGCTGCTTGATTGTTTGCGGCTGTTTTTCACGGGATTTGTTCTTTTCTTGCCGCCCCCCACCCACCCCACGCCTCATACAGAACGCCTGCAGACACATAACCCGAGTCGTAAAGCCCTTGACGAAGTGCCTCACCATAAAGGAGCTGTCGCCGTGGCCTGCCCTGCCCTGCCACATCCCGAGGACAACCCCGAGCCCCGCAGCCTTCAGCAGCCTTCAGCATCCCCGGCCGCGCCGGGGTGGGGGTGCCACAGGACGCATCATTGACCAAATCATTTATCGGAAACGAGCCAACTTTGAAGAGCTCCATTAAATCTGACTTGGGGAGTGTGGAACTCCCTTTCTCCCGCGATGTCTGCCGCCTCCTCCCACCAGCCAGCAACACATTCATACATACATAAATACGAGCATTACTTGGAAATTCATCTCGCACACACATGCACACACACACATACACAGAGCTGCAGTGCTCGCGCGGACTGCCAACAACACATCTCGGACGTATGGTCCGCCGTTCGACCGAAAAGCTCTGTCGACGCGCTGCTGCTCGAGTCCCCACGAAAGTGATTGCTGGCGGTGGGTTTGTGTTCTGCGCCCCACTCCCCGCGATCCGCGCGGGACGGGTGGGACTCGGGTGGGACGAGCACAGGTACGTCAACGAGGCGGGCGTGAGTGCTCGGCAAACGCAAAGCGGGCATGTCCAGTAGGCGAGGCCCGAACGGTGCCGCCTGTCTCTCTCGCACTGAAGGGGGCTCGGAAGGGGTGCGAGAGAGACAGCGCGACGACAGCGCCGCTGAGAATCAGCCTCCGGAGGAGCGGCAGCGAGAGGGTGCTTGGCCGGCTTGGCCGATGGGATGGGTAATTCCGAGAAGCAGAGACCGTGGGTGGGGAATGGAGGGTCAGGTGGCGCTGCTTCCGAGGCCAGCCGAGGCCAGCAGAGGCCAGCCGAGGCCCTGGCTGGATGGGGATCGGTGTGTCGCGGGTAATGGACGCCGTTTATCGGAGGGACGTGAGGCCACATACCGAGTCCGGCCGCGCCGCCCGGCCACCCGGCCCCACAGTGGGCCAGAAGGCCCGGTGGAGGCGGCCTCGGAACTCTAGACGCGTTTTGAGCTCCAGAGTCGCCAAAGAGGACTTGAACAGAACGTGTGACCCCACCAATGGACATGCCGAGCGCCTGCAGAGTGCTGGGTAGGCAACACACGACACGCCTGTCCACCGGGTTGCCTACCCCGCTCTCCGCGGGGGCTCGGCTGAGGTTACTGCCGTTGCTATTGAAGGCTGTGGAGCTCGAAATGACGGTACGCCGTTGAGGCCCGACCGGCCACGGGGTGGGAGACG